AATCAAAAGTTTGTTACATCAAGTGATTTAAACCGACATGTTATGCAAAAACACAAATCTATGTAATTTATAAATTAAAAATTATATTAAATATAAACGTAATTTTTAATTAATTTATCATTTGTAGAACAAGTTTCAACTTTTACTATAATTGTATGAAATAAAGTTTGCAATAAGTTTTATCATCATTTTGTTTTATTTAATAAATAATATGCCTTTTTGTATAATTTGAAAACTTAACAATAATATTATATCTTGTAATTATTTTGCAATTACATTGAAACAAAAGTTTGTGCTATATTATAATTGTATTTAAAATTTAGTTTTTATTGTGTTTTAAACATAAATTATTGGATTATAATTAAAATGCAGTTTATATGTTGAGTGAATTTATTAACACAACTAACATTTGCCTCTCACTTGAATGCTATTTAATGCGTTAATCTTTTATAAATACGGATTTAAATCTTTTGCATAGGATATGCAAAATAATATTGCATTTGGATATCCGGGTTAACAAACTATATAAAACTGTTTTATAAAATACTTGCCATTAGTTTAGTAGTGATTGTCAGACAAGTATTGTTCAGTAAAACACATATCATATACACTGACCATTTGTATACCAATATAACAGAATCGTAACCATATAATTAATCACGATCATTAATTTGTTAGTATATTATAAAATTTAATAAGTGTGAAAAATATGTACAAACTATTGATCATCATAGTATTGTGTCTGCCGTGCTTAATAAATTGCATACAATATAACTTTATAAAGTACCATGATAAACCGAATGATTTCAAAACTAAATTAATGATTTCAACGCGTGTGGAGACAGTGAAAGATCTAAAGTGTTTGCTTCATGCGAAGGGTCTGTTCAATCCTTGCACCCAGGTGGTTTTGTTTAAATATTTCAGTTATAGCAAACCTGAAGTATTTCCCAATGATTATCAAATGAGCAGGTTAAGTTCCTATGATGATTTATTGATTTACCCCAGAAATGCTCAACGGTTTATATTGTATGTGTTGTGAGCTATGGTTTGAATGTTCACTCGTATTAATTGTGTTTTATATATTAAATATTATAATAATTTATTAATAAATATAATTTTAATTATAGTCTGAGCGAAGAGTCGGACCAAAAGTGTCGTGAATTGTGTGAAGAGATGTCGGCTCTGAAGGCAAGCAATGAGTCCGAAGTGAAGGCATTGAAAGCACAGCTCAAGTCAGCCATGGATTCAATGCAGACAATGGAGACTCAGATCAAGGATTTAAAACAAAATCTTTTAAATTATAATAAAAGGTATTAAAATATAAAAGAAATAAAATAATCGTTTAACAAATGAATGTTTGTCTATATTTTACACTAACTTTATTTTGTATTTTCTAATTAAAGTTTAAATGAAATGTCGATAAAAAACAGTGAATTGAGTGAAGAGTTGTCGGCATTGAAGACATCGAAACATATCATTGAATCCGATGTCAAACAAATGGACAAAGAAATCAATGCACAGAATATTAGGTTTGAATGAATTTTAAATATTTTGTAAAACAAATCAATTAAAATTAATTTTACATTAATAATTTATAAACAGATCTCCAGTGAGTGATAACTCTTCATCGATCGGATCCCACAATCAATTGACCACTAATTCGGACAAAATCAGAGATGACATCAATATTGACCACAAAATTACTGAAATCCAGAATCAAATGAAATATAATAACAAAATGACAAACAATTTATATAATTATTTATTCGGTGAAAATAATTCAATAAAAGCGTTCAAAGAGATCGTAAAAATGTTAGAATCCTCGGCTGACTTGAGCTGTGCTTTCAATGCCTTCACTTCGGACTCATTGCTTGCCTTCAGAGCCGACATCTCTTCACACAATTCACGACACTTTCGGTCCGACTCTTCACTCAGACTATAATTTTAAATAAACATTTAATTGATTAACTATAATTATTAAATATTAGTTACAAAAACATACCTGGATGATTGTGATGGCTGGGAATTAATCGGTTTAGGTAGCAATATTTGTGACACTTTTATCTGGTAAAATGGGTCCAAATCCGATACCTTAAAATCATCATGGTACATTACATATTCTCCGGAGTAATTTGATATAGATATCGATTCGGTCTTTTCGTCGATATAAATACAGTTTTGTAGACAACACTTAAGATCTTTGACTGTTTTAGCATGTGGTGGTATAACTATTGTAAAACTAATTCCACTATAATGGGTTAAAAGATGTTCATATTTAACCCGAAAAATAGCATTATTCATTATATGCTTGTGATTTGTTAATTATTCTATTATGGTAAAAAATAATAATAGACAATAACTTTGATTTTAGCAAATTGTTTGTATAGTCAGTGTATGCGCTCTGAGATCACAATCACTACTAAACTGATGGTCAGTTTGGTGTTCACTAATGTTCGCACACTTTCTGTACTATCTATTGATTGGTTCGTTTGATATATATTTAGCATTTTTGGTGAACTAATTGTGTAAAGCTTTAAATAAACACAAATAAAACTTACATTTTAACTGCAATACAAGTGTTAAGTCCATACAAACCCAAGGCCTTAGAGTCCGAGAAACCGGACTTTCAAATGCATTCTGTGCTCAAAGCATGTGATTAATAATCCCTATTTTCAAACGATTAATGATTTAAATATCAAATACAACAAATAGTTACTAAAATTAAAATTAACACTTACCATAGTTACAATATTAAAGTTATCATAATCTAAATATTGCGACATTATTTGAAATAAGAAAAGGGAGATTATAATAGTTATAAAGTATTTAGTATTGGTTGGCATTACTTTCTAAACAAGGTTTTAGTTCACAAACATGCTTTCAAATCTATTTTCTTAGTTCATCAAAAGTACAATTTAATTAATTTTAAGTCTATATTTTGAAATTTATTTAATATTTTTACATCTAACAAAATGTGTATAAAATTAATGAGTGTTTCGTTGATTGAAATTAAGAGTAAATTCAATGCAATGGAACTTTTGTGTTGAAATAAATTCTGTTTTGATGTAAAACTTTTGTGGCATTCATTGAAATCACAAATAAATGTCACATTTAAATGAATAATATTTTTGTGTTGATTCAATTTGGAAT